AAAACCACATAAACATAGCATTGTTGAACGTACTTTAGTATTTAAACGGTAGATAAAGGCTTATTTTAATCCCCTAAAAATTTTTCGTCTGTTCGGATTTCCTAGCTGAAAGTATAGTGATCCGAAAATTATAGGGATCAAAATTTACCTTTTCGAAAATTTCAGCCAAAAAGAGGCTCCCGAAAATTCTAGGTGACCTTTTTACGGTAAAAATCCGTTAAAAATGGGCAATTATACCACTTTTTTGATGTTCGAAAATCTTAGGAGAGGCAGGCAAGCAAGAAATTGTATCAATCAAGCATACGGACTGTTACTATGGTCACTATCTGTGCGGATCATACGGAGTCAGAAGCGGAAGAACGGAAGGAACAGGAAGAACCATAGTAGCGTTGATGGTTGACGGTTATTTAGTGAAAATTTAGTTCAAGAGTTAAAGTAAATATTAGCTTCTGTATAAATTAATATTTAACTGTTGTGTTTTGGAGGTTTCCTTGGCATTTCGCATATAAACTTTCCAAATATTTTAAGATATAGCAAAGTTGTAAGGTCTCGTAATGTTCAGAGAGAGTGTTTTTGACAACATGGCCCGTGTTTTTTCAAGTGAAGAGATTCCTCAGGAGCCAAAAGGTCCGTGAAGATCAGCTGAAATAGTGAGATCTGAAATACCTTGAAACGTTTTGACGGTTAATATTACTCTGTATTTTTGACGGTTGATAGTAAAAAATAATAACCTTCTTTGACGGCTGACGGTTAGATTTTAGGTTGTTGTTTATTATTAATATTTTTTTTCTAAAAGTGTTTACGACAAATGTACTGTGTATCTACATTCTTTCTTTAACTTAAAACACATATAGCCTAAGCTCGAAATAATAGGTTGATTTAGCAACAGAACGGGAACGTCAGTTGACAACGGCGCGCGTAAATCAACCAACTGGCTTGACCAATGGCATAGCAGCAAATTGAGCACCGGAATTCGAGTTTAGTCCTTTCCGCGCGCTTTCCCGTCGTCAAATGACGTTCCCGTTCTGTTGCTAAATCAACCTATTTCGGGGAACATCGGCATTGTTGCGTAACATTCGAAATATAAGGATTTGTATGGAAAGACAACCTGTAATAAAGTATAATAAAGGTTGGCCCGAGGAAGAAGATTCTTAAAAGGGTCTGCATAGGGGTACCTCGATAACACTAAACACTTCATTTTTTCGCTTTGTAACATGAAACAGTTAAATTTTAGACATTTTTACTCTAACAGTATAAAATTCTTTGAAACAGTAAATTTTTTCCAGAAAGAAGCAAAAACGGCTCCAAAAAGGCTCATCATTTTGTTTAGTGTATTAAAGAGTTCTCGACCATTTTACAATTCCGGACTGTTTCAGACGATTTCCGAAGCCTACCGACGATTCCCGAAGACTGCCGAAGATATCCGAAGACTAACGAAGAGGTCCGACCATTGCCGAAGACGTCCGAAGAATCCCCCAAACACTTAACAGAAAACAGAATAAGAAACAAATAGTACCACATGAATGTACCACTGAGGAGGTTTTTGATTGAATGGTCAAACCCTTGAGTTTGTAGCAAAGGCTCAAAAATTAGGAATCCTGTTGACAAAGCCTCGCGCGGCAAAATTGTGCTTGAGATACAATCTCATCATTAGTGTTAATACTATCGAGTAACAGTAATACATTGGTTACAACATTGTGTTTATACCGAAATCGGTTTACCATAGATAATTGTTCACACAGTGTACAGAGCGTTTTTCACATGACCTTGAAAATTGTTTCCGTAAGTGTTTGTTAGTTTTATCAGGCAAGGCTTGTCGTCAGTCCCACCAAAGGAAACCGTAAAATGAAAAAAAAAAACATAATTCGATTGTCCAATCATATTTCTCAATAAAGAATGACGTGAAAGCGTAGTATTGCTTGGTTTCTCGAAAATTGGTTCTAATGACTGCGGCGTTCGTTTCTTGTTTTGTTCTTGGGTAATCATTTTAAGGTCATGCAAAACTCGCATTATAGTATACACCACACCCAATTAACAGAAATATCGCGTACATGATTAGCCTGATTCTCAGACGTCCAAGGTCGTTCGCGGTCCCTGAGACAATAGAACGTTAGACTCATATAAGAGTATGTCTAAGTCACAAAACATGGTTAGCTGGCCTCTACGAAGGCACTGTTTTGGTTGAAGACTTGTGCTTCTGAACCAATAAAGTAAACGACACATTTTTCGCCCTTGGTAGGCTGGCTTATGATTATTAACCATAACTCAACTTGCACCATTAATGAATGAAAATGATACTAACAAGTATATTTACTACCTCTCCCCTCCCCCTCCTCGCGTGCCTTTACTAGGGAGCTTTAGCATCGACGACGGCAACAGCAGCGAAAACGTCCGTTTTAAAATGAATTCCCGTTTTTTCAAACTTTGTCGCGTTTATTCCAATTTGCTGAAAATGGCAAGTGTAGGCGAATTTCCCTGGAGTTGCTTTCTTGAGGACCGCACTCAAGTTTAGAGAGAGAAAGAGATTCGTCGTCGCTTGTTTACGTCCTCCATAAAACTTCACGTCGTAGTCGTGCAAGGACGGTAAAGAAATGTACAAAACAGCGTGATGCACGTGCAAAGTTGTTGTTTTGCATAACAAACCTATTGCTTTTTTGACGTCCTCGTTGCCGTCCCTGTCGTCGTTGCTAAAGCTCCCAATAATCCACTTACGGGGATACTCTTTCTCTACTTTCGTATTCTACACGTGGCCTATAGGAACTATAACAACGTCATAACAAACGCGCAATTTCGTTATCATGAGGGCACTTCCTCCCTTTCATGCGCTGATCCTAAGTGCGCGTTGCACACCATATTTGGCGCGTTCTACCGACTTACGAATACAAAGCATAGATACTGACAAGACAGGAGCTTTATCCTCTCTTAATACTGACCAATGAAACAGCCATGAAGGCGCAAGAGTAGACGTAATGGAAGCATATAATTGTTGACACAAAGTAACAGCTGTTCTCAGTTTTTGGCTGACTTTTAAGGTTTCCTTATGGTGTTTTTTGCTGTTTTACATCTTTGCAGAAAAAGAAAGTGCGAGGTCACAAATAGCTTGAGAAAACAGCCAGCATTTCGGGACGCCATCTCTAGTTTTCCCCGCGAAATGACATCTGAGAAACGAGCGCAGAAATTCCATACTGATGACGCGTCACTTCCAACATCTGGGCAGTGCCTCTGATTGGTTGAAACTTTGCTCTATCCAATCAGAGGCACTACCCAGGTCTTGGTAGTGTTGACGCGTCATCAGCATAGAATTTCTACGCTTGTTGCTCAGACGTCATTTCGCAGAGAAACCGAAGGTGGTTAGCGAAATGTCGGTTGTTTTTTCAGGCAAGGACACAAATAAATCCATAACTAGATGACCGCACTCAAACTCTATTAAGAGAACAAGTAAATGTTTCTGGATCCACTGAGGATGAATAAAGGACGTATCGCCTTCGATATCTTTCACTAGCGAAATCAAAGGTGAGAATGTCACAGAAAACAGGAATAAATATTCATTGAATAGGTCATTTCCGATTTTCGCCAAGCCTCTGTTTCAATGCTAGGCTAATTGCAAAACCATTGATTTGAATATGATTTTTTATTTTCATGAAACAAGAAAGGCTGTTCACGTAGCCCAGTTTCGAAAGTGAGAGTTTTTGGAACTCGGAAATGGCCCATTTGTCCCTTTTCGGTTCCAGAACTTTACTATTATGCTAGATTTTCTACTAAAATAAAAAGCCGAACACCACGCTAACTGGATTACGAATGAAAATGTATGTATAGAAGCTAGCCTGGCTTCCGTGCTTAAGGTTTGACCAGGGATTAAAATGATTACTGTCATTACTTTCTAAAGATATTTTCTATTTATAGATTAACGCCTGAGTACCGAGGTCTTCTTAAAAATATTGACTTTGCGCATAGCTAGCCTGAGTAAACAGCTGACATTTTGCGACCTCACCACTGGTTTCCCCGCGAAATGACGTCTGAGAAAGGAGCACAGAAATTCCATACTGATGACGTGTCAATAAAAAGTTCTGGGTATTGCTTCTGATTGGTCGTGCCGCGTCGGAAATTTCCTTCCGCCAATCAAAATCCCCCACCCATGCCAGATCTAGGTAGTCACGCGTCATCAGTATGGAATTTGTGCGCTCGTTTACCAGACGTCATTTCGCAGGGAAACCAGTGGTGGTGTCGTGAAATATCGGCTTTTTTTTCAGGCTATCTACTTATAGAATAATGCCTGAGCATCGAGGCCTTCTTAATTGACCTTCTTTTCTTTCATTTAAAGAAAAAAATCTTTTCAAAACAATTGAAAGGGATATTAACCGTTAACAGAACTGCCAAAGTGTGGACCTGCGGTTTAATCTAACAAAAGAAGTCGCCATCCACCGTCCAAGTGTTTTCTAAATGTCAAACGAGCGTTTCCGACGATTTTAGGATAGTTTAGTAAGTTTAGTAAGCAGGAAAAGTCCTTTGCTTACGATTACTTACTTATTCCCACCCAAGCGTCTTGACTTCTTGAGAATCCAGGACTTAACTAATCCAAGAACGTCTTCCTAGCAGAAAGCCAGCGAAAAAGTTTATATATAATCTACCCTAACGTCATGTCCCTCAAAGCTCATCGTGATCCACGAACGGTTTACTGTCGTCGAAATTAATCTCTTCTGAGCTATGATTGTAGTACATATTAGACGCGTTCTTTTTGCCGATCACTTTCCTCATACGGTTGCGAAGAGTAGGTCTTAGGGTCTCCCCGTCCACGGCGAACTGGAAGGACTGGTCTCTAGTGCGACAGTACTTGTACAAGACAATACCAGTTATAACGATGACAACGACAACTAAAATTACCACAATAGCGATGATGGCGCCAGTTGAGATGCCTTTCTTGGACGCTTGAGGGGGTGCAGGTGACACTAAAATGATTGACACATGAAATAAACAAAGTTAAACAAAATTAACTATTGGTCTTTATGAGCTAGCACGAGAGACTCGCTCAGAGTTATGCTGAGTTTCTCTGTGGGACTGTTTTGGGGACGAATTTGGGTGACAAATTTTGGTTCCTGCGCAACATCGCAATAGCCGACAAAATAGAACGATAGCGTGCTCAAAACAGTCGGTCAGTGCCATTCGACAACGCAACAAAGTGAAGACCCATCTCGCACGCCGACTCAAAGTGGCCATTGCCAGAGGGGAAAAAGTAATAAGCCAAGTGCAAAACTTAAGGCAACGTTCACACGGAACCGGACAAATTTTCCAGTCGACCGGCTGAAAATTGGTGCATCAGATTAAGGTGTTCCAGCAGCTGGTTTTATTAAACGTACCAAGTCGAAGTAAATTAGTTTTTGTTAGGACTGCCGATGACTATCTTCATAGCGGTACTATTGCTGCTGATACAACTGCTTCCCTACAGAAACACGCTCGCCCTTTCGCTCCAAACTTACTATTAACCAGCACCCTTCCAAACCTAGTATTTCATTGGTCCCTATAACCTGCACAACATATTGTTTTCAGGGATAGAGGCATTGTTATGTCACCATCCCTATTGTTTTCCCAGCCGATCACAAACCTTATTTGGAATCGGTGCAGGTTGACCCCAAACTTACCTTGCTCCGGATGAACTCCGTCCACAATGAGCACCGCCGACCTTCTGTCTTCACCCTTAGCGTTCTCATAAACGCATGTGTACGTTCCTATGTCGTCAACGGTTACAGAGAAGATCTTGAGATTCTCATCATCACCCTCCCCATCATCAATCAGTATCCGTTTGGATGACTGAATGGTCTTGGAGTTTTTCAACCACGTGACCTGTGGTGTTGGCGAGCCAATACCGCGGCAAAAGAAACTAACGTTGGTTCCTGAAAGGACTGAGATGTCTTCTGGCGCCCTAATGATCGTGGGCGGACCTAAAATAGAATAACCAGTACCAATAAATACAATTGCAACCAGCAAAAATAAACTCAAAAAATGTTAGTCTAATTGGCTACTGCTCCATGACTGAATACTTAGAAATACGTGAACCACCAAACAAGTGTCAATTGCTTTAGAGAAAAAGAATAAGAGTTATAGTCAGAGAGTGAGCAGTGTAGACCTCATTTCTGATTTTCATATACACTACGATAACGAGCAAAAACTTCAAGGAGCTGAGCAATGCCCAAGTGCAGTAACCCCATTTACTAGTACAGCCCAGCTATGGCTGATGCATAATTAATCAAATTTCGACCGTGCACATGATTGAGTCTCCACTAGCCCAGTGGTAGAGCATTCGATCAAGACCTCGAAGGGTCGTGAGTTCACATCTCATCGGGAGCTCGGAATTTTTTCTGAGCTTTCTGGTTCTAGATCCAGTTCTCTCTGTTTCAAATAAACAGAACAGCTGCTTTTGCTTTTACCTTATATTCAGATCAGGGTTAGATAAAGTTTTTTTAAAAAAGGTTTATCTATTTGTTCACTTTTTTGTTACTGTTAGTGTACGGTGTTTGTGCTGCAGAAGGTTAAAATAAGGCACGTAGTGGATAATAAGGAGTTACAGCAATCAGGACGGCAACGGTAATGGAAACGTCAAAACAGCAATAGGTTTAACAACCAAACCGACACCTCTGCATATACATCATGCTTTTTGTACAACTCTTCGCCGACACTACACGACTACGCGTAAAACTTTCCGAAGTGACGTATTATAGAGCATGCAAACACTCGATGACAATTTTTTCTCTCTATGAACTTTGATGCGCTGCCTGAAAATGTAAAGCTAGGAAACTATACATTTGACCAACTGAGCCAAATGAAATAACTGCCATGAATTTCAAAAGAACGCGAATGCACTTTCCAAACAACGTCATCGTTGCTATCGCCTTTTTTTAATTCCTAAATAATTTGGTCAGCGAGCACATATAAATGATTAACTAAACAACTCCTAAAATGGTCTGTTGTCTGCCTTACAGAGAATTTCCCACCTTACGGACTGTTTACGCTACATGTAGTTAACTAGGAAAAATCGGACGAACCTAGTCAACCGCCCAACAGGGATTTCCACCTTGGGGACAACGCTCTTCTAGTAACAATAAAAGAAGGACTCACCAGTTAACAAAACCCGCGTTTGTGTAAAGCGAACACTACCACGATTCCAAGAAATACATGAATAAACAGCGACGTCTTCTTTGGTGACCCCCCGGATCTGTAACCTACTTGACGTAAAGGATTTATTTGCGACGTCAGTTATGACCGACATTCGACTGGTATTCGTTAATAATTCTCCATCTTTCTTCCACACTAACTGCGGCTGCGGAAAGCCTTTTACCTTGCAGTCAAGAGTCACATCAGCACCTTTCTTGGCCAGTTTGTAATTTGGTGGAGCAATTAGGAAGTCAACTGTCACTGAAGAAAGAGGAAATACAACAAAACGATAGGCCTTTTGCATTAGTTCCTCGCGTGATCAACTTTCGGTAAACACAAGAACAGTTCGCCTTCAAAAAATTTTGTTAGCACGAGCTGAAACAGCATTCGGTAACCTGTAAATTTTCAGCCGTATATCTCTCTCAGCATGCCCAACTTTAATGTGCTCTTTCAGCCTGTGCTACCAAAATTTTTCAAAAGCGAACTGTTATCGTGTTTACCGAAAGTTGATCACGTGATAAACTAACGCAATACGCCTATTGGAGAAAGTAGAGGAGTTTACATAACGATCCGCCACTTTCAAAACCAAAAAGAAACTGGACCGAATTAACGTTCGCTAAGACCTCTGGGACTGTTACTAGGGACAGGGGAACAAAATTGACCAATAGCTGACCGGCACGTCACCAGTAACAATCCCAGAAACAATTGCGGGACGCATTTCGGTTCCAGTTTCCTTTTTGGTTCTTTAAAGTGGTGAATACAACTCCATATTACAAGGCTTTCGAAGAGCTTAACGTTTAGAAGGTAGCTGGAATATTACGCTAATAACAACTTGTGCCTCAGCAAGAGCTAACTTTGGGATCATTAGGTCATTAATTTTTACATTTATGTGCTCAGTATCCTGGCCTTTGAATAGAAGCGGGGCTATGGGTGACAGGGATTTGTTAAAAACTTTCCTGCTTTTCATGTACGAATCGTGTTATTCTTATTTTAACAAGCCCGTGAACATTATCATTTACATGCGATGAAACAGGAAGATTTCTGACACAGCAAGGCCACCTGCAGCCTCTTCAAAGGTCAAAGGTCAGGGCCCATTGAGCACTGTAAATTCAGTCGAAGCTTTCCTCGCGACCACTCTCTTAAGCGACCAGCTCTAGTTACGACCACCTTCGTGAAACGCCGTTTGAAGTATGACTTAAACTTTGTAATAAAAGGCTGTCGTAAGCGACCGCCACCACTTTTGGGATTATCCAACTGGGCTTTCCCTTTGTTTTTAAGCCTTCGAAAGCAACCACTCAGAATCTTATTCATACCACTATAACGAAACTGCACACTGCGCTAATGGTCTAAGTTAAGCCGTGTCCATATCAGGTATAAAGACACTCATTAAACATTAATTTCGTTTTTTTTCTCTCTCTCTCTTCACGAGTTATTAATGAATTTCTGAAGCTCTGGCAAGCGACCACCCTCAACTGTTTTACCGAGCAGTCTCGTACGAGAACTCTTTCTCGTAAGGGACCAGCTCTAGTTACGGCCATTCTTTCGAATTTGCCAGGTGATCGCTTACGAGAGATTCGACTGTAACTGTAGAATGGTGGCCTATTGTAAACAAGAATGTTCATGATGTCACTGCAGCGATTTTTTTTAGCTTCCCTGTTTCACCATTTGGCATTTTCTTACACTGGCTTCCTTACCTTTCAGCCAGTCTTCGTGATGGCACAAAATGGTCAATAGAATCGCCGACGAATCGCCGATAATGAGGGCTACATTTTACTTGTATGTAAATAGGGAGCTTTTAAGCTTAAAAGCAAAAACGTTTCCAAGTGACGCGACGCACAGTAAGTGTACGTTTTGTACTCTTAGGCAGCGGTTTTGCCAAATTTTCGGAAAAATCGTCTCTATAAGACTAAAGACACACAGCAATATAAATTTAGTAGCGTCAAGGCATATTGAAAGGGAAAAGGCCTCATTTCTGGTTGATGTGCGTCGCTCAAAACGTCTTTGATAAAGCTCCCTGATGACCCACAAAAGTAGAAGCAGTGGCGTGGATGTTTTAGAGTGCTAGTGAGATGAAGTTTATTTATGATCTAGCTAATGATAATGTTTATGCTAATGATAACCACAATGATTACTTACATCCAACGACAAGCGACGCATTGGCCCTTGCCTCTCCCAGCTCATTAACAAGAGTGCATTCATACAGCCCAGCGTCATCGAATTGCACGCTTTTTATCTTTAGCGTGTACACGCTATCTAACAACTCATATTTCTGAGGAGAGGCAAAGATGCTTTTCCCTTTAAACTTCCACGTGATGTTGGACCCTGGGAAACTGGACACGACACAGGTCAAGTTCACAGTATCACCTCTGTTAACATCCGCTGAAGAGACACCGATGATCCGCGGCGCCTCTGCAAAATTCAAAATTAAAAAAAGAAAACAAAAACAAAACATAAACATAGATGTAATGCATTAAACAAGTTTGAAATTCAGAACAGTCCCTCCCCGTGCTCCTGCCTTATGTAATTGTAGTTAATGCTAAATGGGCCCTTTCACAGTTTTTTTCCACTTTTGATAAAGAACAGTGACCAAATATCCATCAACACTGCTGGGAATGGCGCTTTAAAATTACAGTGTACAGGTGATACTCCAAAACAAGCGAAGTTAGTGCTCCACAAAGTACAGTCTAGACGTTTTACACACGTTTGTATGATTGGGGGCACGAATATCCCCCCTCCCCCCTCCCGGCCCTACAAACGTCTGTACAATTCCAAAAACGAATGTGTGGGAGACTAGTGTGTCGGTAGAAGGAGAGGTTTATAGCAAATTACAATGTGTGTACTGCCTTGGCCTGTCGTGATTCTCAAATCACGGGATGGAGTCTCAGAGCTTTGCTCGCAGTCTACGTCCACTGAGAAGAAAAAAACTGCTCACAGAATGTTCTTAATAAAATCGAAAAAGTAAGCTGGTTGAAAATTTTACCTTTTACAATAACCTCGGACACGTTGCTTGTAACGTTTCCTTCAGTATTGACGAGGGTACAGGTGTAATTACCGCTGTCTTCTCTTGTGGCAGATCTAATGAGCAGATCTCCTGAGCTCGTACTAATGCGACTGGAGTTCTTAGCCAGCTCAAGGAGAGGTTGACCGTCTTTACGCCAGTCTTTTAGGGTTGGAAGAATCAGCGGGGGTTTGGAACGACAACGCAGATTAATCACCTCTTGGGCCTTGACTTCTGTTTTAACAGGGGGCACTCGATCGAATTCCGGGAGCTTCGAGGCCACAACTTGAAAGAATTGAGACACAACAGATGTCAACGTTCGTGGATAGCACACTGTTTTTATAAGAAACCTTTAGATTCTAAGACGAGAACGATTACAAGTACGAGATTTTCCGTATACTAGGTAGAGCTCGCGCGTGAACCAGCATCCGTTTTGGCGCGAAAACGTGATAGCCATAGTCATTCTACTACGACTTTTAGCGAGAATGTCGTAGTGATGGAAACAAGTTATCACATGTTAGAAGTTTTATTATTTTGCGATCGTGAGAGGGCCTTACCTTCTCCATGAATAGAGATAACAGTGCTAACTTTTCGGAAAGTACAATGAAGCTTTCCGGGGTGTCGGTTTTTTGAAGAATACGCGAAAAGTATTTCAGTCAAATCTCGTACTCGTGGTCGTTCCTGTCCTCGAATCAAAAGGACTCCAATACTGTGGTAAGAAGGGTGAAACAAAAAGAAAGAAAGACAAAAAAAATTACGGCGAAACAAACATACGTAACTCAAGGCAACAGACATACTGCAGCGTTTACGATTCAAACCGGAAAATTTCAACTTTAGCTTGAGTTATCCGGTATCGTAGAGATATAGCCTTATTTACCTCTACATTCTTTGCCGTCTCCGGCGGTCCCGAGGGGACACTGTAAACACACAGACTCTTGCTTGCCATCAGGATTAAATATATCAAGATCAACACAGGTTACTCTGTTAGCTGTGTCACATTCCTATAAACAGATAATACTGAGTAAGATATTCAGACTAGAGCTCATAGTTAGCATTGTTAAAATGACACGATTAGGTTTTGCCGTAAGTCACTAGACGAGGCCTGTCTTGAGGACTATCTTTACCACGATTAAACTCATCGGGCAGTTCGTTCGCAAATCTTTCTGAAATGACGTCGGTCAAGCTGGCCTTCACTTCCTATTTTCTCCCGTTGCAGGTAAAAAACAAATACATCCATGCAACTGACCTGTAAAAAAAGGCCGGGTTATCTTATTTTTTCCGCGCTTGGAAACATGCGTGCATATTTTTCCGCTCTGGGCACCACTGAGGTGCATATGTTCTCGCTCTTAACGTGATGTTATGGGACGATTCGCCACGACGATTTTTAGTGCAACACAGCATTGCATCATTGTTGCGACACTGTTTCGAATGGTCACAGCATTGCTCCAACATTGCAACGCTTTGTTGCGCTAAAAATTGTCGTTGCAAATCATCTCGTGTAAAATCACCTTTAGAACGGGTTGCACGAATGCATGTTGCCAGCTTTAGGTACAGTGCATTTCTTGTGATTGTCAAAAGAAGAGTCACGCGTCATTAGCTGTATATTAACATCATTATACATTGTACTCACTAGTCTGCCTACTTACTGGATAAGAGCCTACGGTTAATCTGGGAAATCAGCGCAACCAGGGTTATGGGCTCCTGGCGCAACATATAGACAAGTTACGCTTGTATGTGTGATATCTACTTGCAGATAACTTACGAATCTGTAGGTTTCTTCAAAACAATGTATGATAAAATAATCATAGCTTTGGTTTTTAGGATAACCGGAGTAGAGAAGGTCTTAATAAGAGTTACAAACCTCCTCCTTCGGCCACGGTTGATAACGCTAACGAGACCAAGAGAGCTCTTGTCGAAAACGTGATTATTCCAAACATCACAAATTCGGAATCCAATAATTGTTTGATACGGTTGCATCTCTCCCAGTGTTTAGAAGATCTACACTATTTTAATTTTGTGCCGGTTTGGTTCGCCTAAAGAGCGATTACAAAACCGTGTCGGTCAGTTCAATTACCTTTAAATCTGAACACGATCCCTGGTTGAGGTGTCTGCAGTAGTTGTTGCTAACTTCTTCCACTGTTGCATTATCACAAACAACACCAGCATCCTCGCGGTGGTATGGGTCACAGTTGCCCAGACCCCACCCAACTTGCCGGCACTGAGTGAGGGAGGTCTCGTAGCCAAAACAATTGACGTTATCCATCCAGATGATACCACTTCCTATAACACGAAAACAAATAACCGTACACTGCACATTAGAAATTAATACCTTTAGATTGTAAGGCGAGAACGAGAACTCAACACTGAGTAGTGCGCGCGCGTGAACCAGTGTCATTTTGGCGGGAAGACGTGATCGCGGTCGCCATTCTACTACGGGTCTAAGTGAGAATGTCAAAGTAGCGTAAAAAAGTTTTATCATTTTGCGATCTCGAGGGGGCTTAACCTCCTTCAAGAAAAATAACCGGGTTAACTTTTCCACGGTTCATATAGAATCTTGGGGGGTAATTTTTTTTGTAATTTGACACAGAACAACATGAATTAAAGACCTTTCAAATTCCTAGGTGTAGGAGGGTTTGCTTATTGCAATCGCTTCCCACAGGAAGGCAGGGTTCCTAAGGCGCTGCAAATTACGGATAATGAACTATGCCGGGAACATTGAAATCATAAGAAAACCCACTATCATGATTACTAAGAAAATTTGCGTACTTCTGTGCTTTCAGTCTTTTGTTTCCGCAAAACACTTTTTTTTTCACAAAGGTTATTTTTATTCAAGACGCTTTCAAAACTATTCAAAGACTTCTGTGGAAGATTCCAGGCCTTCTCAAGGATATCCCACAACAATGATTTTTCAATTTTGAAAGACTTGTCAAGGACATTATGCTTTTTCAAAGACTTTTTAAGGCCCGTAAGAACCATGTTTTAGGTGAAAAAAGAGTTCCATGAAGCTTTCCAATGTATCTATTTCTTAACAAAACGCCCAAAAATTTTCAGTTAAATCTCGTCCGCGCGGTCACCCCTGTCCTCTAATCTAAAGACCTCTAATATCACAACGTATTAATTATTTCAATGACTATTCTATCTTCAGCTACTAATGTTCAAATCTGTTAAGAGTTGTCCACTCTCCACTAGATTCCACCAAGAGCTCTCTTGATTCCACTGGAAAACAAATGGATTCCAATGGACTCCTTTATTTCTATCTGACGGAGGTGTCCGTCTCGAGACATGGCCTAAAGGACGAGGTATTTCAAGACTAGATGTCCGGGAACTGATGGATCCTCCAACCCTTGAGAACCTGTTCGTATCCCATATTTTGAACCCAGGAACCTAGAACCTGTACCAGGCTCACGTGTTCAAAACCCGCCGGAAACTCACATTTTATTGGTCCATGCCACTTGTGATATGAATGATGACAATTCATCTTTATCAATAAACTTTTAACACAAAACGTAAAACAAGAGACTCAAGCGTTGACCAAGTGTATTTAAATAGGAACTGACCTTTTTTAAAGAATGAATGCTTCGGGGCCAGTAAAGCTTTTCCGAAACCAAGCTCTTTACAAACTATAGCTGCTTCCTTGAGGTCCCAATCGTCATCACACACAGTGCCCCATTCACCAGCGTAAAATACTTCTACTCTTCCTTCTCGTTTACTTTTACCATCTACCAAACGCACTAGCGGTTTCTTTGGTTTCGGTGGAAACATGGAGGAGACTGGCTTCATGCCTTTTCCACAGTCCGGTACACACTTCAAGCCCACTAAAGGAGAGAAAATTGCGTGACGTTTTATGTTAGCGTGACGCATTTGAGTGGATTTGTGGATTGCATCCACTTAATTAGCCTGTAGAAAACAGGGGCACCCAACGGCAATTTTCGGGAAAATATCTGTTCGGAAGACGATTTGAGAACTAGAATTTTCGGAACATTTGTTGTAAAATTTCTTGCCTGCCTGCCTCTCCTAGGATTTTCGAACATCTACAAAATGGTATAATTACCCATTTTAAACGGATATTTACCCTAAAGAAGGCAACCTAGAATTTTCGGGAGCCTTTTCCTGGCTAAAATTTTCGAAAAGGTAAGTTTTGATCCCTATAATTTTCGGATCACTAGACTTTCAGCTAGGAAATCCGAACAGATGAAAAGTTTTTAGGGGATAAAAATATACCTATATCTACCGTTTAAATACTAAAATACGTTCAACAATGCTTTGTTAAGTGGTTTTGAACTATATGCTCGTTGGGTGCCCCTGAGAAAAGCGCCATTTTATCGCTTTTTCAGGCAAGCGAAGGACAGCGCGACGTGTTTGTGGAGTGCGTGGCACGCGCGAAAAAATATCTTATCCCTATCCCTGTTGCGTTTGCCTCGCGCTTTTTTTCTTTTTTATCAGAGATTGTAGGATAAAACTTACTTAGGAACAAGCCTTCAGGGCAAGATTTGCACAGATCATTCCTCTCACCGTCGTAGCACGACTGACAACGCTTATTACACGGAACACACTTGCGGGTCTTTGTATTTCCGTACTTCCCCAGGGGACATTGTAATACGCAATCAGTAAACTGTAAAAAGTAAGGCTTTTTGCAGCGAGAGCACAAATCAGGTCTGTCGTGACAGCTACCACACTTGGACAGGCATCGTTTGCACGTGCCCTTGTAGTCATAGAAGCCGTCGCCACACTTCGACACGCATCGCTTTGATTGGTCAGGTCCTGAGCACTTCACCCCAGCATCTTCCGAGTGACCGCAGTTATTTGCACCGAATCCACCTGAAAACAGATTGAATTGATGTCACCATTATACAAATACAAATATACAAATACGAATTCCAAAACAATAAAATGCAACAACAGAATGAAACCTCTTTAGCAGTACGTCCACAAGGCACTATTTATTTAGCATGTACAGTCCAACCTCCCATAAGCGACCACCCAAAATGCCAAGACTGAGTGGTCGCTTACGGGAGGTGGTCGTTTACAAGAATCGAACCACAGGGGGCCTCTTCCCAGAAGAGGTCCAGGCACATCTACTTTATGGAAAATAATTTAGCGAGTGCAATGTCTTAGTTACGACATGTGTAGTTCCATGTTGTCACTAAAGTTATTCGTATATTCCAAGTAGCATAGTGCACACAGCGAAGATATAGAGATCAGATAATGCATCAAGTGGTCGCTTACAAGAGGCTAAAAACGATGGGAAATCATCATCTGTCAGGCCCAAAAAGTGGTCGCGGTCAGTTACGTACAGGAGGTTGTCGTTTACTGGAGGTTCCAGCTATAAGACTTTGACTGGGAAAATTTTGTTGTTTTGGATTGGCGGTCGTTTATGGGAGGTGGTCGCTTACGTGTGGTGGTTGGAGGTTCGACCGCAGTTCTATCGTTTGAGACTGTACGTGAAATCCTACGCTGTTTCCATTCACTGAAATTAAACCTCTTCAGCAGGACTTTCCAGTGGTACTACATGTTTTTCAGACTTAAGCAACTTTTCCGAGTGTGAGGCTAAATTATTAAAATAAGCTACGTACCATGGTGCATTTTACAGTCCTGCAACCGCCTCTCGCTTCCAACACACTGCGTGTCGTCCATCCAGATCCTGCCAGTACCCTGTCCGAACTTAGCCGAAGAGTACGGAGCAACTGCATTCCCCATCTTCAGCTGCCGACAGATAACTTTAGCTTCCTGAATGTCGAAGTTATCATCGCAGACTGTACCCCACTCCCCATTGTGAAATACTTCCACGCGGCCCTCTAGTAAGCTGTTACCGCCGACCAACCTTATGTCGGAGACACCACTGACAATCTTGTCTTGCCCTTTGCTGCAGTTTTGAACACAGGAGGAGCCCAGAAGAAACAAGTGAGCGGGGCACTCGGTGCAATTTCTTGAACTTCCGACGCAGTCAGAGCACGACGAGGAGCACTTCTGGCATTCCTGTGTGTCGGGATGCCCAAATTGACCCTTTTTGCAATAGGCCACGCAGTCGAATGTATTACCAGTTCTATTTAAGAATTTACCATTCTCGCAAACCGAGCAATTTTCTGGTGAACCAACGCATTTTTTGCAGTTCGGGCTACACCTTCCACAGGTCTTGTCCGTGGTGTTGATAAAGTACCCATCGCCGCAAACGGCCAGACAGTCACGCGACCGATCGGGACCCTGGCAAACAACACCAGCATCTTCAGAGTGGTCACAGTTTTCTTGACCCCAGCCATTGTGCGGACACGCGATTAGCGATGTCTCGTTACCTGTAGAAATTTGGGAGGTAGCTTTCTAAGTTCACTAAAAATATGGTATCAATTACTAACAACTAACAGAATGTATGAAGTGCTGGGCCCGAACGCATCAGAGACTCAAACGATGCGTCACGTAATCCACTTTTCCCTCTCAACTTACCGAATTACTAAAAGGAGAACTCGGTTTACTGTCAACAATGAATCTTTCATTTTCCCATAGGAGGGTTAAGATTTACAGTTTTTTTTAAGTCTCTGGTATGTTTGGAATCGAAAAGATTTGTTCATAAACACTACATTAACTGAAATCCGACCATTACGAAATAACGGGCCAACAGTTAAATGTCATTTTTTCTCTCATGTTTTTTCACCGACAATTCATATGACTGACACAAAGGTGTATAATGGCGAAAATCAACGTCGCGACGTTGAGACAGAACTAACAGAGAACAATTTTCATGACATATTAACTAACTGGACATTCTCGGAGACCAAGGTGCCACTATGTGACACTAGGTCTTCAAGGATGCCTACTGGAAAACATGTTTGAGTTGCTAACTACACCATTAAATATTCAAATTACTTATGCATCCAACGGACGTCCAGCCTGATTCTTAGCAAGTCCGAGGCCGCTCGCTTCCAACAAAGGGAAAAGCAAGAAGTGGAAACGAGCGGCCTGGGACCTTCTGAGAACACCGCGAACCGACATCAGTATATACTCACCGCGACACTTTAATTCATCCAGCCAAACAACACCCTTTCCAGCTCCAAAGCCAGCTCTAACGACTGCTTTGGTAGCATTCCCCATGTTCAACATTCTGCATACCACATTTGCATCGACTATGTCCCACGAGTCATCGCAGACTGTGCCATATTTACCGTTGTGAAGAACCTGGCATAGAAAGCGCTGTCATTTAACAAGGGTTCAGCTAATTAAAACTAGATGGAGTGCATATTTGTAAGAAAAATTAGTTAGCTAGTGAAAAAGGACGCAAAGTTTATATCAACATCAGCTGTATACATATTCAGAACAGTGATCATTCAGGACATAATGTTTCTTTTCTGAAACAATCATATAATATTACCTGATTGTTAAAGAAAGCATTCTTAGAATGTTCGCGAATCAGTGCAAACTGCACAGCTTCCCTGCTTAAAACAGACCAAAGAAAGTTATCTCCGCTTACCTCAACTCTCCCCTCGGTTGGCGTTTGGCTACCAACAAGACGAAGCAGCGGGACAGAAGAAGGCTTAAAACCAGAACAATTTGCAACGCACTTAGTTCCCTCCCTGTAGAATGGTGACGCGCATGAGGTGCAGTTATCAGCCCTTAATTCACAGTCAGCACATACCGAATCACAATGTTTACAAACTCTATCCAAGTAAAACCCGACACCGCAATCTTTGACACACGTATCATTCTTTTTAAAGTAGCCCGGCGCACACTTAGTACACAAACTTGCAGTACGGTTGCAAGAGGCGCACGACGAGTTGCATTTCATGCATGAAGTTCCTTTTGAAAAAAATCCCTCGGGGCACTTGCTTTTGCACATGCGCACACCTGGACCCGTGCAACGAAGAACCACATCTTCGTTATGTTCGCAGTTGGATTGACCCCAAGGGCGATGACGGCATTTCATGAGAGAATCCTCAGTCCCAACGCAAAATACATCATCGAGCCATAGCTTACCAGTTCCCTTTTTGATATGGCTCAGAGGAACGTTGGTTACCGCTCTCCCTAAAGACAGTTCTCTACAAACAACGGTTATTTCCGCCGAGTCCCAACCGTCATCACAGACCGTCCCCCAGACGCCGTCGTGATAAACTTCCAGCAACCCCTCCAAATAATCCCTACCGTTTGACAGCCTTATGTTGGGCCGGGTGGCCTGTCCTGTGAAATTTGAAACCGGAACAGCATACCTTCTTTCAGAGCAGTTAGCGACACACTCCTTCTGTGCGTCATCATAGACCTTAGGTGGCTTACAAACGGTACATACGGGTTCCTGCGTTAAGCTACTATACTCACAACTGATGCAGTTACCGGGGCATGGCAGACATGTAAAGTTTCCGCTGTTCTTGTACATCGACAAGCCACAGTCCTCAACGCAACGGCCGTTTTTTCTAAACATAGGCTCACAACTGTCCTCGCATTGGCCGTTTTTAAGCGCTTTAGGTTCTTTACACGAAGTACAGTTTTTTTCATCAAAGCCGTCGCTACAGGTGACGCATATGGCCGTGTCACACTTTCTGCATAGACGCGTGGGTATGTGCCCGTATTCATCATCGGCACACTTATCCACGCACGTGATGCCTTTTAAAAATTTCGGCGCCGCACACTTTGTACAGCGGTAGCTACTTCCCATGCATTCCAGGCATTGCGTGGCACACGTGGCACAAACGTCAGTCCTGTCATTTTTGAACCAGCCAGGATCGCATATTTTCACGCAACGGTTACTAACGTGCTTTGTCATGGGTCCAGCACACTTAACTCCTACGTCGTTACTATGGTAGCAAAGTGAACTGTAGCTTCGCCTCACCAAAGGGCAGTCGAAGATTGAGCTTTCTCTGCCGGTACAGCCAAGAATGTCTGTCCACACACGCCCGTACCCTGAACCATAGGCAGCTCTCTTGACGGCTTTGATAGCCGCGCCCAAGCCCAGCTCGCGACAAACAACCGAGGCCTCGCGGAAATCAAACGTTTGGTCGCAGACTGTAAACCAAGACCCAAAACGAAACACTTCAACGCGGCCCTCCAGATCCGTCGGCCTGTTTCCCGCCAGACGTAAACGCCGCGTCTGGGCGACATGGTGAGGAGCGCAACTCACTACGCATTTTGTTCCATTCAGGTATCGGTCATCACGACAACTTGTGCAAACATTAGGAGAAGTCCCATCTGCGCAGGTGCGACATCCGGGATCACATACTTTGCACTTGCGGTCGGTAAGATCACCATAGAAACCATCTCCACAGTAAGTCTTGCACGCGTTTCCTGAAACAACGATATGAGGTTAAATATATCAGTTTGCAATTAACAAATGCAAAAGAATGGTTCAATTTAACACTTAGGCAAGGTTAAGACACTGTACTTCACATGAGCCGAACCGAATTCATTCAAGTGAAGTACGACATCTGAATCGATTCGAGACTAAATGAATTTGGATCGGTTTAGCCGTTCTTAACACCTGGCTCAGCCGGGAGTAGGGACCTTACGAAACTACGACGGCAACGGCAAACGGCAAACGGCAACGAGGACGTCAAAAACAGAATGGGTTAATTTCATAAGCAAAACAACAACTCTGCACGCTTTTTTGTACATTGCTTTGCCCACCCTTCAAAACTGCGAAGTGAAATGACCAAATTTTGAGCTGATTTGAGAACGGGAACGGCAAGGCGATAAATTTTACAACTCTCTCTGAACTCGGACGCGGTCCCCTCTCTTTAGTTCCAACGTTACTTCCCTATTATCAAGTAATTGGGTGACTTAAAAGTGAAAGGGAGAAAAAGATTCAAAGGACGCGTCGCCGTTCACGGATCGTAAGGTCCCTAACAACGGCCTTGGACCGGCGTTGTTTCAGTCGCCGAACTTCACAGGGAATCCCGAAACATCGAGTTTGGATTCGAGTTCGAGTTGGACTTCGCGCGAGTAGAACTTCGAGTTAGACTTCGAGTTTCACTATTTAACAATAATAATGATAATGGTGAAATATAATAAAAAATAGAAAAAAGGCGTCGGTAGGCTCTTACGTCTTATAACTCATGTTATAATAAGTCTAACTCGATGTCCACCGCGAAATCAAACTTGAACTCGAACAAGAACTCGAATCCCAACTTGAACATACCCTACTCCCAACATCACATGCCGTAAATCCTCTATTAAGCCCCCCTGGGCTGGGGGGCTTAACAAGCGCACACTAGCCACGTGACAATCAGGAGCATTATAAGTGTCACCTAACCTTTTAAGAATCGTGGTTTAATGCAGGAGGTACAATTCGTCCTGGAATAAGCACAAGTTAAACATGACGCCAAACAGACACCGCACTCCAAGGTGTCCTTCACTTCAAAGTACCCCTCGCCGCACGAATCTACACATTCTCTTGTCGTATCAGGCCCGGTGCAGCGCACGCCGGCATCCTCAAAATGCCCGCACGCATGCGTACCCCAGGTAGGGTGCTCGCAATGTTCAAGTCGCGTTTCATTTCCCGTGCAGTTTACCTGCAGAAAAAGAATTTTCGAAAAAAAGAAACGTTATCAATAAATCAATGCAAACAAAGTCTCTGTTGAAGCAGCGCCAATATCAAAAAAGCCCTGGGAAGGAACAGCAAAAATACAACCCCACGGATGACCATTGATATTTGAAATATTTCTGCTAGACGAACATCCTGTTTTATCCCGATCGAATTTGCTGAGGAAAAGGCAAATGAAGACGAGAATTTAGCATAATCTTAAAATTTAATAATAATAAATAATAATATTATTAATAACAATTTATTAGCTAGAAAACTAACCGATAATCAAGAGACTCTTAAAACTATTTACTATTCACTTGTGCAGCCCTACTTTGACTATTGTGATGTTGTATGGGGTGACTGCTCCAAAACACGTGCTGACAAATTGCAAAAGTTGCAAAATAGAGCAGCACGGATTATTACTTGGGCTGATTACTCTACCAGATCATCAGATGTACTAAATTCTTTAGAGTGGTCAAACTTAGAAGAGAGAAGAAAAAGACACCTATTAGTTACGATGTTTAAAATATTCAATAATAATTGTCCGACGTACCTTCGGGAGCAGTTTCATAGAACCTCTGAAATTCATGACTATAATTTGAGGGGTTCTAACTCCTAAAACAAATTTTCTCAAGCGTTCATTTTCTTATCGGGGTGCAATGGCTTGGAGCCAACTGTCAAATGAAACACGTGATATGGGGGATCTTACTAGCTTTAAACTCGCCATATCTTAGGATATAACTTTTAATTACGTTTTTATCTTATTTCTTTAATACTCATTTCTTGCTGTTATAATGTATTGTTAGTTAATCACTAGTCTTAATTTTTATAAAGTGTAATTATCACACGGCATGTCTGAAAACCAGCTTGCAGAGCCATTTACCGTGTTTAAATAAAGTTGATTGATTGATTTGATTGATTTAAAAAAGAACCCGAACTCAACGAAAAAACTTCAACGCCTTCCCCCAACAAATGAATCGATCACTGCAAACAACATGAACGGAAATGGAGTTATCAAATATACGTAGCACGAGAAAATGCACTTTGAAATATGTCGCTGGAGTTTCTGCCAAAGTCATACGCTACTGCATCTGGTCAAACTCATTTGTGTTGGAGTACTGGCCAGCGTATTTTTTAGGACTTTGTAAAATGTTAACAATACCAAGAACGCAGCTCCCCAAAAAGGGGGTGTCATTACTTTGGATCTTTAAGGAACTAATAAAGACTGGCACTGCATTCTTGCGCATTATCAAAGTCCTATAAGCTGTTAGCTCCTGTCAACATATTTATGTGAAGTAAGTGAATAGAAAAAGGCAAAAGCGCACTGATCGGTAGTACATCTGATTAAGAAAACCTACACGGATAGTCGACAACTTCTGTTACCCTGGGTGCCAGGGGTTTTTTCCTCGCGTCTGGCGGGATGCTTCGGTATCGCCTGCCGGCCAACAGAAGCCACGAGCGGCGAACCCGCGAGTAGCCTGAGAAAACGGCCGATAATTCGTGACTCCACCACTGGTTTCCCCGCGAAATGACATTTTAGAAACGAGCGCAGAAATTCCTTACTGATGAAACGTCACTACCCGGATCTGGGTAGTGCTTCTGATTGGTCGTGCCGGGTGGGAAATTTGCTTCAACCAAAAGTACTACCCAAATCTGGGTGGTGACACGTCATCAGTATGGCATGGACCAATTTCGATATATTTAACAATTATTCCTCAAATAGCCCATGAGGCCGAAGGCCAGCTAGTTGGTCAAAAATATCGAGAATAAAAAATTTAAGCTAGTTAAAGCTAGACTTTAATCCTTTTTTGCCGCCAAAAAGCCCGCACCTTTCGCTACTAGTGGGCTGTAACATATAGCCCAGTAGTAGCTCAACCAATCAGAACGCAGAATTGATAATAGACCGCTTAGTTGGATTTTTGCTGACAAAATTTATACTTGGTTCCCAGGCCTGAGGGAATAAAACAAAAGAAATGTCTTATTCATTACTTCTTTTTAATACCTCTTTTGCTTTATTCCCCTAAGCCTCGCAGCCAAGCAGGAATGTAGGCTCTATTACCAGCCGCTGTTAGGGAAATACGCCTGGACCGTGAGAGCGGCGGAAATCGAGCCTAGTACCGCGCGCCTAGTAGGAATGTTAATATATTGAAATAGGTCTATTTCGGCGCTGTTTTCTCTGACGTCATTTCGAAGGAGAAACCAGTGGTGGCATGGTGAAATGTCCACTGTTTTCTCAGGCTAAGCCACGGGGGCACTTGGCCGAAACCACTAACCAAGCACCTAAGTATCTGGCACCCAAGGTAGCCTATTGTTCATTAACAAACGTTTTTACACCCTTCTTTATTACAGACCCATCGCATTTGAATAAGGGATACCTATGGATTAAACTGCGTTTTCCGACGCTTAAAAATATGGAAATTGTACATTCCGGTCACAGATATCTAACCTCCGTAAGCCAGATAGGCTGACGTTCCAAGCCTGTTCCCAGTCTCCCAAACTTTACAGCTTCCTGGGCGTCTCCAAGCAACAGCTCCCTACAGACAACCTTTGCGTCGTTAATATCCCAAGAGTCATCACAAATGGTCCCCCACTTGTTATCATGGTAAACTTCGACGCGGCCTTCAAAATGATTTTGGCCACCCACGAGTCTTAATTGGATGTCAGGGCTTCCTTTAGATCGCTGCTTACCACACGATACAACACAAGAAGTTCCTGATGAGTAGGAAACGTTATCGTAATATGCAGAATGCTGGAGAAGTTATTTCTTTTAAAACCGCTTATGTTTACAAACTTACTGATATTGTGAAGGTGTCATGGAAATTAAACGCCAAACAAACTTTCTTCGTTACTAACACCTGCTTTGCTGTTAATCATTGCAGCAGAACCCATGAAAGCTTCAAAAAACAAAATTTATTGGGTGAAGAGGCACACTTGTGAGAGTTCGAGAAAAAATAGTGGTGGAGTAACCACCAAAAGCCCAAGAAGCCTGCAAAAAGAATGGGGCGAGGAAAAATTCTTCTCGCGAGCTTCGCTGGCTCGTACCGACTGTTTGTTTCCCAAACTCGCTAAAGTGAGCCTGCTCGCAGGGCTAATTTTAAGCGACTCTCTCTCTCTCTCTCTCTCTGAGGTTCCCTGCTAGCAGAGGTCTCTCACGACGAGGCAAAAATGAGGGGAAGGAGGTGACCGCGCTACAATTTTGCCCGCTTGCCGACGGAAGTTTTTGTAAAGTAAAACGAAAACAGAGCCTGATTTCATGTTAGAGTTACCCGAATTCAGGTGCTTTGACGAGAGTTGAGGTTCTTGCGGCACTCTCTTCTTTCACAGCCTTTTCGATTGCTAGAATCCGATATATCATTTAAGCAGGAGCCAGTGATAGGAGTGAGTGGGATGAGGGGTGCCAGCTGTTCTTTGCCAGGCGTGGTCAATCGATAGTAATCAATAACAATCGATAAGTCAATCATTGTCGATTTCTATCGGAAATAGATATTAATCGAAGTCAAAACTCTTTTCTTTATCGATTTCGATTGGTATCGCAAACGATTGTCGGCGATTGTCGTCGAATATCGGTTTATCGACAGACTGCGCTTGGTCCTGATCAGGAAAGAAATGTACAGGTCAAAAAAAGTGGATACGGGAATAAAATGATCTGGGTACTCCAACATATCTCATAGCTCTTACCTTGAATATGTAACGGAGGATCACAGCTAGAACATTTCTTTGGCCCATCACCATCAAGGCAGGTTTTACAGCTCGGGTCGCACTTCCGGCATGTCCTGGTAACATTGTTACCATAGTAACCAGGACCGCAATTGGGTACACAATATGTCCCCTTTAAAAATGTTCCTTGAAGACACAAACCTAGGAAGGACAAAATGACATGAATGGTTAGAAATAATAATAATAATAATAATAATAGAGAAAGAGAAAATTGAGAACTACCGAGCCCTGAAGCGGGAGTTGAAACGGATCTGGAAATTGCGCAGAGTAACTTTGGTGCCAATCATAATTGGTGCATTAGGAACTGTCTCGAAAGATATAGAAAAATGGTTAGGAGTGACTGGTGTCACATGTCGTTTGGAATCATTGTAGAGAGCATCCTTACTGGGTGCAGCAAGAATTCTTCGCAAAGTCTTAGACACCTAAGGTTACAGGCGGTGATTTGATGTTTAAGGAAGACTCCAGCAAGCCATCCAGAAGCTGTGTTTAATGAGGATGATGATGATGATGATGATGATAATAATAATAATAATAATACTAATAATAATAATACTATGTTCTCTCAACACAAGACAAAAAGGCAAGAAAGTTGTCAAATCTATGGTGCTCTAAACCTTCGAGCAAATACAAGTAAAAACTACTTGCCCAGGAAGGAAGATGGACGAGGGTTGATTAGTGCAGCGGATTGTCACCATGGAACAGTTGAGTTTGAATCAATATGTTCCGCAGAGTCAGAAAATGCTGCTAAAAGCTACCTGCCACATTTTGAAGCCTAAAGCTGAATGTGACCCTTTGCAGTATAAGTCACAAAGAAATAAAGAGGGAATGGCGGACGGGAAGGAAAAACCATTGCATGGTCAGTTTTTAAGGCATGCAGAAGGTGTGACAAGTAATCTCTCTTGGACCTGGTTGAAGAAGAATTTATAAGAAGGAGACAGAAGGATTGTTAGCAGCGGCCCAGGACCAGGCATTACCAACCAATGCAGTAAAAGCAAAGTTGGAAAACAGACTGTCTGCTCAAAATGCAGGTTGCGCAAGAGTGCGGAGGAATCAGCAAACCACAAAGTTTGTGAATGTCCAGTGTTGGCTCAGAAAGAATATTTTAAAAGATCTACAATCCTGGACAAAAGTACTTGAGAAAATGTTTTCATTAATGCGCACTACCTAACGCAACAAAACTATTTCCAAATCAACGGCCTTGCGTGAAGAAAACCCCCTCCCCCAGTTCAAAGTTGCTTCCTACAAATGCCAAATGCTTAGAGATCAGGCTTTCCTTTGAAGACCCAACAACACTGCTTCCAGGGGGAGGGGGGGAAGGGAAGAATCGGTCGGCTACGAAGTTTAGAAAAAATACCCCCCAAGTATGCAATTTTCTCAACAGGTTTGTCCAAGATTGTAGGCATGATAGTGTTGCAAAAGCTCTCCATTGGTGCCTGTGCAGAAAGCACGGATTAAAAGTTGCTGACAAGAGGTATGAGCATTACAGACTGATCACCAGCTTATTAACAATTATTCCTCGAGCCCGAATGGGCTCTGAGCCAATAGCCCATAAGGCCGAAGGCCGAATGGGCTATTGACTCAGAGGCCGTGAGGGCGAGAGGAATAATTGTTTTAATAAAATCCAACTAGTTGGTCAAAAATATCGAGACAAAACAACTTAAGCCTAGTAAAAGGCGATTCAGCCGCCATTGTATCGGTTTTCAAAGCCGGCGCTTTTCGCTACTTGTGGGCTATAACATATAGCCTAGTAGTAGCTCAACCAATCAGAACACAGCATTGATCATAGACCACTAGTTGGATTTTACTAAAACACAACAGACCACCTGACCTTACTGTAGTAGATAAACAACAAATTATTGACGTAGCTGTACCAGGGGATGCCTGGCAAAAGAACTGAAAAACCATGGACGGTCAAAACAAGAGTTGTGCCTATTGTTGTCGGGCACTTAGGACAATCCCAAAAGGATTAGTTGGGCATCTTGAAAACATTAGGGCGAATCTTGAGAATCTTGATGTGGCTCAGATTCAAAAAACTACCCTCTTATGGGAGCAGTACGAATGCACCGACGGGTTCTCGACTACCAAGGTTGCAGAATGTGACTTGTACCGGGAACTGGTTGCCAGCTGAACACTGAGAGTATCTACATAATAACGTATAGATTTAGCTAGGGCTAAAAGCAAAGTTCTCGTTAATATACTTATTCCGTAAAGTCTCAAAAGTAACAAACCCCTCGAAAGTAGCGAACCTCCAAAAGTAGCGATAAAATGTCACAGGTATTAGCACATCCCGAAAGTAGCGATCCCCCCGAAAATAACCACGCTCCGAAAGTAAAAGAAAAATTACCGATATGATAGATATCCTGAACAAATTAAATGCCACACTGATCCGAGGTTTGTTAATAATGATTATTAACTATTCATAACCCTTTAACTATTGGATATACGCTACCTTTTTTCAAAAAGTATTCCTTTCACATTGTTTGCGATTTAATTTTTGAAGTGCTCATGTGGTGTACACGTTCCAGTCATCCGAAAGTAACGAACCCCCGAAAGATGCGAGCCTCCGAAAGTGGAGATAAAAAATAAAATCGTGTAAAGCTAAACGGGGACGGTAACGAGAACGGCAAAAAAACAATAGACTGGATCTAATAAGCAACTTTGCACGTGCAGCAGACTTTGTTGTACATTTCTTTGCCGTTGTTAGTCTGGCTTGCCTTTTTCGCCCCGGCGGGGGGGGGGGGGTTCTCCCTTGTATAAGCTATATAGGTATGCGAGGCGCCAAAGGGTATGTTTTTTTTTACCCGTTCTGTTCTGAAATAGGGTATCAATTTCGACCATTTTGGTCTGAAATAGGGTATGGTTTGTGTACTCTAGTCTTGAATTGGGTATGTTTTTTAAACTTTCATTGTATGCAAATAGGTCTTGTGATAAGCATGCGATTTATTTTCGGCGATGACTGAAATAACGTGCCATGTATAAACTGAATAACTTTTTTGATCTCTGGCAATGATGTAATTTCTCTGGAATCGAGGCCCTTGAATTTTCGTGTATTTATACACGTGTATAGCCTCCGACTGCAGACGTATTTCCGGTCGTCGCTAACACGCGTACTAAATCAGTTCAGAAACAAGTAAAAAGTATCGACGTCGATTTAGTAGGAAGTAAAAAACCTTTAGCGACTAAATCCTGTTTCGCGTAGAATTAATCGCCTCCTCATTTCTCGATCTAATCTCCAAGCAGAGCGAGATTCAATGCCGCTCTAAGCGCGTTCTTGTTTTACACCACTACCACGTGGAACTTCCGAGCTACACGTTTTATGGAGAAAGCAGAGGTTAAGCTTCACGTATACCTTAAACTACGAGTAGTCCCCCATTTTTCCTCAGGGATAGTAGAGCGAGCGAAACGCGAGCGCGCGTGAAAATCACACCCCAGGCGAGAAAAGGTCTGCCCGCCGCGTGTCGCCTTTTCTCGCGTGGGGTGACTTTCACGCGGGCTTGCGTTTCGCTCGCTCTACTATCCCTAAGGAAAAATGGGGGACTACTCGTAGTTTACGTTTACGTCAAACGGCAAACGCAAATTTGTACCACGCTACGTTATTTCTACACATAAATTAGTAGTTTCATGCAATTTTTTATCCATAAGAATTGTTTTGAGCCGTTTTTACCTGCTCATTTTCTTTTTTGAGAAATTCTCAACTTGAATCTGACGCACCTGAATCTGACGTTTGCCGTACACATGAAGCTTTAACTCTCTATTGTCGTATGTCTGCCTGTTTGCTTCTGTTTTTTTGCACTGCCGCTCATTTTCATCTTAGTGGCCGTTAGCATTCCTAATATTCTTATCGCCGCTATAAAATTTTCAGGTTTTCCTTCCAACGAAATTCGTCTCCTTTGTTTTCTTTTTCTCGCCCTAGCTCTATCTTGCTCTATTTTTAATATCCACGTCAGTGTAGACATCAGAATTTCGTCGAAAACTAGACTCGGCTCTCACAGCTGTCAATTCATTTTTCACAAGGATGTATATAACTGACAGGTTATTATCATTTTCCATGTCTTTGTATAGTGCTGGAAGAAAATGTGACATTTGACACTGACTTACATGTATGGGTGGGTAGACGGACGTAAGGAAGGTCACATGATCACTAAAATTTCTCGCATCTATAGGTTACCATTTTTCCTTACTCAAGATCGGCTTATAATAATAATAATAATAATAATGATAATACTAATAATAATGATAAATAACTCTATATCCGTTAAAATTTCTAGACTGCAAAACGGTCGGTTTTTTCCTCAATAATTGGTTTGCATGGCGAGAAGCGCCAGCGTGATAATTTCGCGCGAAGCGCGTGGTCCTACGTAAAAGAGTCTCAATCACTTCAGACTTTTCGTTTGACCAATCGCGCGCGTATAAACCTAGGCAAAAATACGGGCTCTTCTACAGTAAACACAATTTCTTGGTCTCAGAACAAACAAAACGAAAAGACCGTTTCTGTTGTTTCTCACACAAATAACAAAAATGACAAGCCTCGCCTCCGCTTCCTTCCAAAATATGGTCTGAGAACAAAACAATCTGGCCCACTGTCTAGACTGTAAATAACAATCCGCATTCGCTTACTAAAACCGACACAGTTTTCAATACAATTTGCACTTTGCGGCTGTCTGGTTTCCAGGATAAGATTCCTTTTTATTTTCACCATCCGAGTCAAAAACTGAAAATATTCAGTTCTTTCATTGTTCAGTTCGAGTGGGAATGTTTTTGGCGAGCTTTTTTTTTTCTGTTAACTCTTTTAATGCATCTACTCGACAGTTTCACTGATGACAAAGTTTTACAATAACAAGCCGTTTCACCCAAGTTGCGATGGTCTATAAGCAAGACACTAAGACTACTTTCGCTCCGTATCTCTTTCGGCTTTCAGTAAATAAAACTAACAGATTAGAAGATAATAGACGTTGTAGTTGGGGCACTGATCCCGAATTAAAAACTGTAGCATATGATTGTTTATGATTCGTAACAAAAACAGCTCAAAACTGGCTTACGTCACTCCACCGAAAATACAGTACACATTTGTGAGGACCTCTTATGTAGATATGTAACAACTCGAAGAAGAATCGCCGAGATTTGGGAAAAGAAAAACATAATTCTATCGAACATCCACTTATTGTGTCCTAAAGAGACAGGATAATGAATAAATGTTTGGAAAGCCTTCTCCTTCACGAACAATAGAATTGGTCTACGAGGAAAATGTTAACAGATCAAAGCACGTGATCTTAAAATAATAACAAAATTTGTCCGCTTACCCTGATTAGATGATTCCGAGTTGCGCCAGAAACAAAGGAATAAAATGAAAAGCGAAAATCCACCGTGACTGGGGCACGAAGAGGTCATAACAATCCGCATTTTGTTGGCGATGAAAAACGGTATAGTTCATTCGCTACTAAGAAATTTCCACTCTGTGTATAATGTCTATATGCAGATACGGCGATGCCAAATGTAGTAAAATAAGTGGCAAGATTTCTACTCCAGCCTATCTGAGCACAGTCAGATCTCAATCGTTCAAGGAAAACTTCATAACGTAAAAATTTCAGGACTGCGTTACAACCTTCCGATTTCGTTCAAAACTTTAGTTGAAGTATTGTCGTTCACACCGAAATTTAAACATATGCACAAAGTCATGTGATTTATACAATAGAATTTTCCACGCTGCTATCACCTCGCTATAGTAAAAATGAATGAATGAAACACGTGGTTTCAACGCATAAAATATGAAACTTCCTCAAGAGAGCTCATTGTTGTTGCTTTTTTTTATTTAGCAGCTGGGTGATAATTCTCCAATCGGCTTATTTTGCGATAAGGCAACTTTATTTATGGCACAGTCGTTTATTTTAAATTTTTTGAAAAAAAGAGCGAAACAAACTCTTTCTCTGGGATGGTGAAAAAAATTCAGTTCCTTGTTTCAGTATTACAAGTTACACTTTCCCCTTTGCCTAAGATGTCCGAGGAAAACTGTGGTACGCGTTTTCTTTTAGCAAGTTCTTAAAAGCTTTTTATCGCGAAAAAGAGCGCTTGCATGCCAGGAATGATAACAATCAACGGGTCAGAGACGTCTTCTTTTCCAATGTTCAATGTAGCTGTCTACTTATCTTATCGAAATTTCAAAGCGGCGAGCGAGGTTTTCGTTAAGCACGGGAAGCCGTTTGACGGATTCTGATTCGTTTGACCTTATATTTCGAGAGTCAGCGAATAAACTCCGCTTCTGATCTTAAACTGATTTATACAGTTAAAAAAGAAAACAAAAAGTTCCTTTCATTTTAAACAATATCAATAGGCTTGTTAAAAAGGACAATAATATCTTGTGAGGTTTAAAACTGGTTAAAAAACCGCAAGAGTTCTACGCTACGGCAGGAAAAATTCAGACTGAAAGGACTCCATTAACGACGCTTGCGGAAACGAACACATTGAATGCAACGTGAGACAAGTTTTATCATATCAAACAAAGCAAAACAATAATATGAAGACTAATACAATTGATACAATTGAAAACACCACAGGAAAGCGACGAAGAGACAATACATGGGCTCTAGGTGATGGCCTTATATGATATGTTTATTGAACGTGCTGCAGCCTGATTCGACTTCAGTGCCCTTTCCTTTGAACTAACCTTCCTTTTCGCCTCACTTGGCCAGTCAAGTATCAAAGTTTTTATTTTTTTTACCACTAAACTGCATGTCGACAGCGTGCATAAAATTTGAATAACAAAAACACAGTCAGTTTAGGGAACTGATCATCGCCAAACTAAGCGAAGATTGTTAAAAAGTTGTGATGGTATACCATACGGTGGTACAAAACTCATGGAACTGAAAAATCTTCTTTCAGTTTCTTTCATAACAGCAAGAATTTGTTGAAGCAGTCGTAGATTAATCACTGAACTGTTAGCGTAGAAGACTGACTATCGCACGCTCTTAAAATCATTTGCATAAGCATGTACGATTCTCGAAAGAACCTGAAAGAATAAGGAACAGCGATGGAATGTTTTATGTCTTTCAACGTCATTTAAGGGCTCGATTAGTACAAATAATAACACAGCAGCTTTGGGCGCCAAATTTAATAGCTGGGCTAAGCGCTAAACGGATAAATGAAACCACTGTAAACTCAATATATTCATGCCACTATTTAACTTACTAGTGATGACATAAGACAATTATGTATAGAGTAAAATACACGGAGCCTCGCTGCTCAAACATGCCGGTCAAAACGTAAAACTGGATGATGCAATGTCTGTCCGCAACGTCCAGTTTACATAAAACATGTCAAATTTAGATCAATGTTTAATCTGTTCGAATATCGCTTGGATATTGCTTACTAACGTCGAAGTCAGTCGTATGGCAAACAGTTAAACTTACCTTCTAAGGCTCTTTCACAAGTTCCATCGCTTATGAATAACACGGCAACAGCAAAAATAACAAGAGATTTAAAACCAGACGATCGGCACATATTTCCTGCTGCCTGTGCCGTCGATCATTGAAGTTCAAATTATTACGCAAAATTATCTCGCGGATCTTAACTCGGTCAATTCAGACCAAAATCAAGAACAAGAGTCAGCAAACTAAACTGTGCTGAAATAAAAAATGCGGATACTTATAATTTATGGGATAATAATGGCTAAATCCCAACAATCCATTAATCCCACAACGTGAGTCGCAGCGTGCTGCATTTCAGCAACTTATAATTCCGCTGGTCAAGTACACCTCTTGAAAGGGCGCGAAGTCTCCTTTTGGTAGGGGAGGGGAAGGTAGATTGATATACCGCGCCATTAAGGGCTTTTGTACAGGCTGTAAAACAAACTGTTGGGGGGGTTTTCACATGACGTCACCAAAATTCAAACTAAGAAACTGTCGATTAATATTCCGAGTTTCTACCTTCATGAGGTATTACAGCACCTAAAAACCCTTAGCTTATTTACACAAATTTTTAAAGGGTTCTTCGTTTGCAATAGAAGACGCTTGAATTTCCAGGCTTTTGCGTGATGCAGCATTTAGCTGGCGGCCGGGAAGGCTCTTATGTGGGTTTTTTGAGATTTTACTATCTAAATATTCCTTGTCTTGAAATAAAATTAATATCACTTCAATCTTTATGAGTTCCTCAAGTGATAAATTCACGCTTAGGTAGCCCACCCCCCCGCCCCCTCCACCTCTGCCTTCCCCTAAGTCGCAAAAAGATGTTTCTGTTGGTTTCTGGCGGCCATATTTGTGCCCCTGAAAGGGACACCAACAACATACATCCTTAACCGAAAGGTATTATATTCTCAGATAAAAATCACACTTTTATGGGAATTTTTGAAAATGCAGTATAGGAGAGATCATATTAAAATAAATATCTTTTCCCGAAATATTGTGTATTGTCGTTCTTGCAGCTGAAAACGATAAATTATAGCGATTATTTAGCGTCCTCTAAAATTCAAATATTATAAGTCACACAATTTGTGTCGCTACCCTGTGTATGTATGTAGTATGCGTGACGTTTAGCTCTTAACCAGGGGCCCATCAGGTCTCCTGCTATTAACTTATTGGTTTTCTTTGTTTTGAATGCATGAAAATGCGCTATGAAAGTTTCAAATTATTCTCTATGGGCTCCTGTCTGTCTTCAATACTGCATTGCTAGAAGACAAACTGAAACAAATCAGAACCGGCCCTTACAAAACACTATGAAAAAATAGTATTAGAGCCAACTTTGTTATGAAGGCCGATAAAATTCTTAGGTAAACAAAAGGATGAAAAGGGACCCAACGTAGAAATAATACCTGCCGAGGGCGATTGTTATGGGATTATGGGACAACAGTACATCCTAAATGCCACTTAGATAAAAAGTTAAGTCCGAAAAGCCAGATCATCTATGTCATGAAAAAAATGTCGACTTAACCAAAGGAGATTTCTTAAACTCCAAAAGAAATAATAGGGTAATTTTTTTTTCGGCTACCTTTGGCGAGATTGCAAAATTTAATATCGAGTCGCCGAAGCCTCCTTTTCTAAACGAGGTGTAAGTGCTAAGCCACTGTCATATTATCAAAACTCGTTTTTACATGAAAGATTTTGCACTTCTGACTTTCAGTTTTGAAAGCGGGATTTTTCGAAGTCGGAAGTGGCCTATTAATCAGTGTCCGAGTTCTCTTAAAATGAAATTTTCCACAAACCAAACGGTTCCTCAAGAGACTCAGGGCTAGCTATAATTTAAATTTATTGTTCTGAACTTTCAGCCGTCTCCTTACCCCAGCACTAAAGGGACCTGAGACTACCATAACATCGGGTCGAGTAATTTTCAGCTAGGCAAATCTTACAAGACGAATTTTTTTTCGTGAATCCGGCTTGGCTGAAACTTTTTGGCCTGTAACGACATTAACACTACCAGCTACTAACGGTATTAATGAGTGAAAAATCAGCGGAAAGCCCCGCACTCCCATACCCGGGGAATAGCAGGGCATAAGACTAGGCCCGCCTTCTAAATGACGCAAATTCCCCTATGTTGGGCAATTTCGACCGTCAAAACCTCGCTTTTGGTCCCCGCCTCTGTGGCAATATAGTACCATATCCTCAAAAGATAACAAATGCACGGTGTCGACCAAAATATTCGTATTGAACCGCTAATAGAAAACAAAAGTTTATGCTATTTCATTTACAATTTAAAATCCTTAAATAAGCTTTAAGATATAAAATCGGTTGACGAGAATGGCAGTACTAAATACATGCGACTTCGTTTTATGCATTTAATACAATACCCTATTTAAAAACAGAACATATTTCCAAAGGCAATGAATTTCAGGCAAAAGGTCACCGCTCTATATAAATCACTAATCAAGCGTGACTGTGACATGCATGATGCAAATCGTTTACGAATTCTGCTACAAGACATCATAACATTTACAAATTGAACACCAAGTTTACTTGATGGCCTGTTTACAAGCATGAAATGAAAGGATTTTAACTTGCACATAACATACCTTTTTACTCTCAGCCGCCATTGTGAGTGAAGTGAGACCGTGCGTTCTCCCAGTGATCTTCGCGTGCCTATTCAAGATGGCGTCGAAAGCGAATCCCCGCCTAAGCCCTGCTAAAGCCCCCCTTTTTGTCCCGGCTCCCTGATATTTGCGTTTAAATGTAGTCAAAACCCCCACACACCTTGACGAAAAGAACAGTATAAAACGACTGAAATCCCCTGTTAAAGCCCCGTGTTGCGCGGGGATAGGGGTGCGGGGCTTTCCACGCGGCGCCGAATGTAAAGAGCGCTTTTATATTCTCTTATAATGGCCTGAACAAATTTTAGTCATTAACTACCTCCCGTCCTGGCCTCTTAAATACAATCAAAGTGCTAACTCCGGCTAAACAACACATAGCAGCAGGCGCCAGTTAAGTCCCTGTTTACATGGAGACGGGGACCCCGGTCTAGTGGGGTAGGTTTCTTTTGTTTTGTGTCCCCCAGAGCGTGAAAGCAAAAGAAACCAACCCCACTAGACCGAGGTCCCCCACTCCATGTAAACAGGCCCTTCGTTAATTGTTATCAAGAGACAATAACTAAACGCCCGAAGCCCTTGGAATATTTTAATTTCACCAGTTATTTTTAGACGAATTAGACGCTTGAATTAATGAC